ACGCATAAAGCTGTCATCCCGCCGCCCGTGGGCAGCCAGCAGCGGCAGATGGCTTTGCTTCAGGTGGCCCTGCGCGCTTTGAAGTGGTGGCCTGGCGCTCGGGTTGCGAGGAAGATCCTCTTCATCAGAGGCCGAGTGGATGCTGGTGGGGGTGACTGCTGAGCCTGCTCCTGAGAAAGGGTCATTTGGTTATTTCTGACCAAACCCTCGAAGTCTGAGGTACAAAGCATCATCTATTCAGAATGGTAGTAAGGTATTATAAAAGATAATAGAAGTTTTTTGATACCAGCGTTGAGCATTGCTGTGAGGGTATCTATCATAGGAGAGACCAGTTTTCAGTAAAGGTACAGTGTAGATGCCAGCTTTTGTCCTGCCCCCTTCCTGATGTGGCATAGCTCAGACCTAGCATGTTTAACCTTAGACAAAGTGTTTGTCCCTGTGGCTCTGTCTGTGCTAGTGTAGCATTATTCATAACTCTCTTACTGAATTTTTCTTTCTGTTGTTTGGTGTTTGGTTTTTTTTAGAGTGTTCTGCTGAGAGGGGACTTCAGGGAGCGGTGGCAGAGTTCAGGAGTGGAGTGGAGAATGACACAGCAGGGAGCTGTTCTTCAAGGCTATAATAATGAGCTAGTAAAATGTATTGAAAACTTGTGTATGCAAAAAGAAGAGCTGAACAAACAAATCCAGCAAGCAGAAGAGGAAAAAAATAAACTCCAGCATGAAATCCAAGTCCTGAATGAACAACTGGAGCGTGTATGTGAAAACCTGGCCCAAAAGGTAGCTTCACGGAATGAGCTTGATAAAATTCTTGCTGAAACTGAAGCTGCTTATATGAAGATTTTGGATAGTTCTAGAACTTTGCTTAATGTCCTGAAGAAGGAAGTGGGAAACTTAGATCATACACCAGAAGTGTGAAAACCAATGTAACATGAAACGGCCAAATGTTTGGACTCCACAGTACTAAAATTCCACTGGGTGAGAAATGTGGTTAGCCACAGAACCTTACACTGACAGTATAAGCAGAGAGGGATTTTCTACCGATCTTTCTGTATGCTTCATTATTGTTTTTAAATGCACTAGAAAACAGATGAAATAAAGTTGCTGTTCTGCTGTTAAAAAAAATATTAATTACTTAAACACTACAAAACTATATTGCAGATGGGTAGTTGAGGCTGTTGGTTTGACATTGATTCAAGGCTATTCTGAAGACAGGGAAAAAAAATGTGTTTTATTGGTCATCTTCAGATGGGTACCAGTGAATTCTTGTGTGATTGAAAACTAGTGGATGCAAATAGATGAAATACTACTTATTTTCACTTGACAAATGCTTAGGCTTTACTGTTGAGAACCAAATAGAAAACAACTAGTTAGCTTCCTCTAGGAGTTTGGAGGTCTGTCTGATGCATGCACAAAGAAAGCCCATGTTTGCAATCATCTCTTGATTGTCTGGAATAATGGAAGGATAAGGTGAGAAAACATGACTAGTGCAGGGCATAGAGACTTAAACTGTAAGACTATTATGGTTCATGCATCTTCTGAAGCTATACTAAGAAGCCTTGTTTAGAAAGGAGGCACACTATAGTGAAAGACAGGTTTTGGTGCAAGTACATGCCTCCCACATGCGAGCATAGCACTGCGGGCAGCTATACTGTGTGAGGTCGGACCAGCTAATCCATAAGGAAAGGATGACTGTTACTTCAATAGCGTCTAGAAGTCCTGAAAAAACTAGCAGGGTGCAATCAAAAATACTAAGAATTAAGTACAAGGTCAAAGAAGATAATTTTAGCTAAAAGCCAATAGTAGAACTTCTGGAAACCTTTTTAGTGCCCTTTAGCTCTATGGTGATCTATTAAATAATTGTAATAAGACTGTAAAGAATAGTGACCAACCTGGAATGGTGAGAAATAAATACGAATGAAAGATCAAAGTAGAAAATGAGATTAGAAGTATTTTGTAGCTGTCAGGCATTTTTACAGATAAGGTTAAAATAGAACCTAATTTAGAGATTGAGGGGAGGAAACAGCATGGCAGAAATCTCAATCCTGTTTTCTATTTCTAGTAGTTACTAAACCTTTCTGTGTTTGTATGTGTGTACATATACATGCAGTTTGTGCTGCTCATTCATGTGTTACAGCACTAACTATTTTTTGAAAAAGTTGCATATTGTAGTCAAATCTTCATTCTATACCAATTAACTAAATTGAAAGAAGTGCAGTTGTATTCTCCTTACTTGATAACTGCATGTCTCGGGTGCAAGTATAAAGGGTATGTAGATGTGAACAGTTTCAGTAATAGCTCTTCACCAATAATATGAAGCAAATTTTATGTTCTTCATAAATGGTTGCCATGCAACATCAGGGATTAGTGTGACAGCTAATCACAATTTGCTTGTATAGCATTGCCACTGACTTCCCTCGAGTAATGCTGAGGTGAAAAAATTGGATAATCTCAGGGGTACTGCTGTTGTACTGCAGTAGTCAGAACTGCTTTGTTTATATTGAAGTGAAACAAAAATGTTGGTATTTTTTTAGTAGCAAAAAAGTTATTTTGTTCCTTGGCATTCTCTCTTCCCTTAATCTGGTAGTAGTAACTAGTTTACATCAAAATAGGACGACTCAGGAGAAGGTATTAACTAAAGAGCAAGAGGTTTTTTAGAGTTGCATGTGTAATCTGCTGATTCTTATTGTCTGAAAGGGAATTTGAAATTGTCTATGTGAAAAAAAAATTGTATCATAGGGAGCTCATTTATAGAGAACAGTACAGTTAATATCTTGTATTATCCATCTCAGACAATAATTACAGGTTTGTTTGCCTTAGAATAATCGTATGTTTTAAATAATGCCTCTTCTTGCTCTACTTAGGCTGTTAAAACTAAAGAATTTTGAAGAGAAGCCTTGTAGGTCTTTAAAGAAGTCTACTTCATGACCATTATTACATCTAAGTGTAGCTATTACAGTGTCAAAATTAAAATACTGGAGATGTTTGCATTTTTTAAGTTAGAAAACTAAGGGAAGATATAACTGTTGGCCAGTATTTATACACACTGGGCCCTTCCAACTTTCAAATAAAAAGTTGAAATGTTGTTAGAGTTCAATTCAGCAATCCCAATCTGGAAAATTCCTGTTTAAATTCAAATTCACAAATGGAGAGCAATAACTTAATATCTCTAGGGCTTGCCTATTTGTAGAATAACTCCCAAGTGTGGCAGTCATTGTGAAGTAAGCGTACCTGCAGAGTTGTTACTCAAAAATAGCGCTTGCCATTATATTCTGTATTGACCCAAATGAACTTATAGTGTCCTTTTGTTGAAGTGGTAAACCTTTTTCACTGCTTTTTCAGGTAGTATAAATCTTGACATAAATCGCTTTTCTTAAACAGCTTCAGTTTGTTTAGAATAGAAGACATACAAACTAAATACACAGTGTTGCTGGAACAGAAATTATAATCAGCAGGTTACAGCAGCTCAGGAGGGCTAGCCTGCAACAGAACGTTTGCCTGAAATAAGGTAAGTTACAAACTTAAAGCATCATACTTATTCTCTGGGTTAGATCCATTAATTTACTGGAGTGCTTACAGTCTGGGAGCCTTAATGACAAGAGTTCAGGTTACCAAATTGCAGTGCCTAATCTAAAGTGCTGCGTTGGGTGTCTTGTAGCTTATTGGTATGGGAGGAGACACAGTTTTTGAAACTCCTATGTGTGCTTGATTCAAAGCTCCAGCGAAAAGCATCTAGAGCACTGGTCTAATTTCCTGAATTTATGTAGTGGCACCTTCACCTGGTTTCCAAAGAACAGGATATAACTGGAGGAGAGGTGATGATTCCCAGCTTTTATAGCAATATTTCTTAAATATGTACCTAGCATGTACAACTGCAGTGATCAACAGGTTTTTCAAAACATTTGAGTGTTGACTCTGCCAAGTAAACTAAGTTGATTATGTATGATGGAGTTTGGTGATTACCAAAGAAACTGGGTAAAGTCCCGTATGCAGCAATCACTCACAGTCCATAACTGTCTCTGTGGAGATGCTTAGCTTTCAGTTCACCTTATGTGACAGAGAGGTGAACTTCCTCTTAATTTCTGTTTGCTTTAAGTGTGCTTGTGCTGAGCTACTGCCTACAGTTCGTGCTACCCAATAAATCAAATTTTAGAAATCATCTGAGGTTCACCAGAAGTCCGGGCTTTCACCTCTGTCTCCTTTAAGTCCACTGACAAGTAAGCTACAGAGGCAACCTATGTTTTTGTTTGCTCTTTGTGGCCACACAAACTGGCATGCCCATCTCCACAGTGGCCAATTCCAGCAGAGGGCTGTGGAATCTGAGCCTCCTGTTTACTGGGTGAGGGTGTTGCCAGGCTCAGGCAGGATGTGTTGCCGTCATTTCCCACCGTGGTTGCACTCCTATGAACAGTAATCAGTGAACTTCTTGGATTCTATAACGAACCCTAAGTCTTGTCAGTGTATTGGATGCACTCAGCATTTATGTCAGATTGACCCTGGAGACTTAGCCAGAGGGATGGCAATTTTTTGGCTCTTGGTGAATGCAAGAAATTTGTTTCCTTGGGTTAGGAAGTCTTCAGACTAGGAAGACTGGGCATCTTCAAACACAGCAGAGCAAGCTATAATCTAAATGCAGATAACTGTCTTGGATTGCAGTTTTGCAGTTGAGTATCTCAATTCCATCTAGCTCTTGTGGTAGAAGTGTGTCTCACTCCAAATGAATTAAGTCGATTAAGCTAAACTGGAACAAGGTACTTCTAATTCTGTAACAAGAACATTCAGAAGATTGTTATCAGAAGGATCAAATGTCTACAGTTAATTCATGTAGATGAGTCCTGCGCAGAAGACCAGTATCTATTACTGCTTAGATGATTTTGCTTGTTAGGTAGATTTGAGTCAGAAGATGTAGCTCATGGCAGTTACTGAAATTATACTTAACTTTGGGTGGATCCTGGGCTCTTGGGTTTTTATGTAAGAAGTAGATAAAAGTTCTTTTTATTAGGTGTTTTTCCTTTGCAGTAGTGAGTGAAGAGGTATTAATAGATGCTTTAATATTTGTTTGTGTGTGTTTAGGTTTTTTTTTAACAGAGATGGATAGCCAAGTTTTCCTAGAATCAGTGCTCATTTAGCTTTGTTTTTAATGTGTGTGTGTGGTTTTTCTAAATATAGGTATAAATACCTTATTTTTTTCCTCTTTTGGGGAAAGGAAAGATTAGCCTTTGGTTTAGTTCGTGCACCAATTGCTTTGTCAGTTGGTGCTGTGTTACTGTGTGTGGGGGAAGTCAGGTACTGTGGCCATTTCTCAGGGGACTGTTCTACGTTCTTTTTAAACTGGGAATGGGTCTTTTTTGTTCTTTGCTCCTTGCTGCTTAATAAATCTGTCCTCAATATAGTTGCCCCAGAGTAGTCCTTGATTGTTGTCTTCCTCAGTTGATGTTCAGATGAAGTTTTGTTCAATATATCTGAAAAATACAGATGTGTGCAGATGACACAACTGACTTGCATGTTAGCTATTAATAAAACATGATGGAGAGGTTCAGACTTGCAGAAGAGGGAGCTATGTATTATTTGGTCATTCATAGCTTTAGCTTATGGGATTTGAGTGAAAAGTAGTTCAGTGTTGTAGTTTGATTTTACAAAAATAAGACGTTAGAAGAAGTGAGGCTAATAGAACTTCCATTTTGTGGTGGTTTCAAAAGTGGTTTCACAAGATCTTGTGGGGTGGAACAGTCTGCATTTTTTTTTGTCTGTTTGTGCAATACTGGACTATATACGCTGCAGTAACCACTACAGTAAATTAGTAAATTTTAGTACAAACTTGACTTATTTAGCAGTGGCATTGAAAATAATGGTGTCAAGTCTTTGCATTTAAGATGGTAATATTTGTAAATATGCTTAATTTGAATATCATAAATGGG